ACCCCAAAAACACCCCTCTGAACCCCAAAAACACCCCTCTGTACCTCAGAAACACCCCTAAGCACCCCAAAAACACCCCTCTGCACCTCAGAAACACCCCTCTGCACCCCAAAAATACCCTTCTGTACCCCAAAAACCCCCCTCTGCACCCCAAAAACACCCCTCTTCACCCCAAAAACACCCCTCTGAACCCCAAAAACACACCTCTGAACCCCAAAAACACCCCTCTGCACCCCAAAAACACCCCTCTGTACCTCAGAAACACCCCTCTGCACCCCAAAACTACCCCTCTGTACCCCAAAACTACCCCTCTGCACCCCAAAAATACCCCTCTGCACCCCAAAAATACCCCAAAGCCACCAAGGAGACTCCATGGCAATGGGGCTGGGGAGAGACGCCCCCAGGGAGGGCAACCAAGGGGGGAGATGGGACCCCAAAAATACCCCCTGTACCCCAAAAACACCCCTCTGCACCCCAAAAACAGCCCTTTGAACCCCAAAAATACCCCCAAACCCACCATGGACACCCCATGGCAATGGGGGCTGTGGAGAGACCCCCAGGGAGGGTCAGGTAGGGCAACCAAGGAGGGGATGGATAGGGCATGAGGGAGAGGTGGAACCCCCAAAAATACATCCCCACACCCCAAAAACGCCTCTCTGCACCCCAAAAATCCTCCAGAATCCACCATGGAGACCCCATGGTGACGGGGCCTGGGGAGACACCCCTCTGGATCAGGAAGAGCCCCCATCAGGGGGCCGGGGGGGGCATGGGGGGACCCAAAAAAACATCCCCTGACCACACCCCCTCTGGCCACGCCCCCTGACCACGCCCTGCCCCGCCCAGGTGTTTTACCGCCGCGCCGACATGGCCATCGGCTCGCTGACCATCAACGAGGAGCGCTCCGAGATCATCGACTTCTCCGTGCCCTTCGTGGAGACCGGCATCAGCGTCATGGTGTCCCGCAGCAACGGCACCGTGTCCCCCTCCGCCTTCCTGGGTACCCCAAAATCCAGTTTGGGACCCCCAAAAACATGTCCCCAATGTCCCCTGATGTCCCCATGTCCCCGCAGAGCCGTACAGCCCGGCCGTGTGGGTGATGATGTTCGTCATGTGTCTCACCGTGGTGGCCGTCACCGTCTTCATCTTCGAGTACTTCAGCCCCGTGGGCTACAACCGGAGCCTGGCCAGCGGCCAGCGTGAGTGTCCCCCTGTCCCCGCGTCACCCCCGTGTCCCCAGGTGACCCCCCGGTGTCCCCAGGTGACCCCCAGGACTGGGGAGCTCCACGTTCACCAGTGACAAATCCATCGGCTGCTCTGGGCGTCGATGGCATCTCCTCGTCCTCTTGTGTCCCCTTGTGTCACCTTGTGACCATCCCCACTGCTCACCCAGTGTCCCCTGTCCCTGGGTGACCCCAGGTGACTCCGTGTCACCCTGTGTGAGCCCGTGTGACCCTGTCCCCATGTCCCCTGTCCCCTCAGGAGCAGGTGGCTCCACCTTCCCCACCGGCAAGGCCATCTGGCTGCTCTTGGTGTTGGGGTCCCCTACCCCTGAGGGACCCCAGGTGACCCCGTGTGACCCCCTGTGACCCTGTGTGACCCTGTCCCCATGTCCCCTGTCCCCTCAGGAGCAGGTGGCTCCACCTTCCCCACCGGCAAGGCCATCTGGCTGCTCTTGGTGTTGGTGACCCCTGTGTGACCCCGTGGTGTCCCCTGTCCCCAGGTGATCCCAGGTGACTCTGTGTGACCCCAGGTGACCCCGTGTGACCCTGTGTGATCTCGTGTGACCCCAGGTGACCCTGTCCTGCTGTCCCCTGTCCCCCAGGCGCGGGTGGCTCCACCTTCACCATCGGCAAGTCCATCTGGCTGCTCTTGGTGTTGGTGTCCCCTACCCCTGAGTGACCCCAGGTGACCCAAGGTGACCCCAGGTGACCCCGTGTGACCCTGTGTGATCTCGTGTGACCCCAGGTGACCCTGTCCTGCTGTCCCCTGTCCCCCAGGCGCGGGTGGCTCCACCTTCACCATCGGCAAGTCCATCTGGCTGCTCTTGGTGTTGGTGACACCTGTGTGACCCCCTGGTGTCCCCTGTCCCCAGGTGACTCCAGGTGACTCTGGGTGACCCAGTGTGACCCTGTCCCCATGTCCCCTGTCCCCCAGGAGCAGGTGGCTCCACCTTCACCATCGGCAAGTCCATCTGGCTGCTCTTGGTGTTGGTGACACCTGTGTGACCCCCTGGTGTCCCCTGTCCCCAGGCGACTCCAGGTGACTCTGGGTGCCCCAGTGTGACCCTGTCCCCATGTCCCCTGGCCCCCAGGAGCAGGTGGCTCCACCTTCACCATCGGCAAGTCCATCTGGCTGCTCTTGGTGTTGGTGTCCCCTACCCCTGAGTGACCCCAGGTGACCCAAGGTGACTCCGTGTCTTGGTGTTGGTGACACCTGTGTGACCCCCTGGTGTCCCCTGTCCCCGGGTGGCTCTGTGTGACCCCAGGTGACTCTGTATGACCCCAGGTGAACCCATGTGACTCCAGGTGACCCCAGGTGACCCTGTGTGACCCCATGTGACCCAGTGTGACCCTGTCCTGCTGTCCCCTGTCCCCCAGGAGCGGGTGGCTCCACCTTCACCATCGGCAAGTCCATCTGGCTGCTCTTGGTGTTGGTGTCCCCTGTCCCTGAGTGACCCCAGGTGATCCCAGGTGACCCCGTGTGACCCCAGGTGACCCTGTCCTGCTGTCCCCTGTCCCTGAGTGACCCCATGTGACCCCAGGTGACCCTGTCCCCATGTCCCCTGTCCCCCAGGCACGGGTGGCTCCACCTTCACCATCGGCAAGTCCATCTGGCTGCTGTTGGTGTTGGTGTCACCTGTGTGACCCCGTGGTGTCCCCTGTCCCTGGGTGATTCTGTGTGACCCAAGGTTACTCTGTATGACCCCAGGTGACCCCATGTGACTCCAGGTGACCCCATGTGACCCTGTCCTGCTGTCCCCTGTCCCCCAGGAGCGGGTGGCTCCACCTTCACCATCGGCAAGTCCATCTGGCTGCTGTGGGCGCTGGTGTTCAACAACTCGGTGCCGGTGGAGAACCCCAAGGGCACCACCAGCAAGATCATGGTGCTGGTCTGGGCCTTCTTCGCCGTCATCTTCCTCGCCAGCTACACCGCCAACCTGGCGGCCTTCATGATCCAGGAGGAGTACGTGGACACCGTGTCCGGCCTCAGCGACCGCAAGGTGACAACGGGGACACCGGGGGGACACCGGGGGGACAGAGGGGGAGACTGAGGGGAGAAAATGGGGGGACACTGAAATGGGGGAAATAATGGGGGAAAAATGGGGGAGAAATGGGGAAATAATGAGGGAAATAATGGGGTGAAAACTGGGGAAATGGGGGGGAAATGGGGAAAAATGGGGTGTGAGGGGGAAATAATGGGGTACAGGGGGGAACTGGGGCACAGGGGAAAACAAGGGGAATGGGCAATAAAAAAGGGAATTAAAAGTCAATTTAAAAGGGAATTAAAAGTCAATAAAAAAGGGAATAAAGAGTCAATAAAAAAGGGAATTAAAAGTCAATAAAAAGGGGAACGGGGAGAAATGGGGCGGGGTCTGGGATGGGAGGAGCCTGGGAGGGGTTTATGGGAGTTGGGCGTGGTCTGGGTGGGCGTGGCAAATGATGGACAGAATGAATAGAGGAGGGGCCTTTGGGGAAGGGGTGGGGCTTTATGACAGTGGGCGGGGTCTGATGACAAATGGGCGTGGCTGTTGTATAATTTATGCAATGGGTGTGGCTTTGTGGGCGTGGCTTGAACACAGATTTGCCATCTGTGGGTGGGGCTTAGTGCACAGGGCGTGGTTTAATTATGTGGGTGTGGCCTATAGGTGATGGGCGGGGTTTGTGGGGATTGATGGCACCATGGCTGATCCTGTGGGCGGGGCTTAGTGCACAGCTGAGGCTGTGGGTGGAGCCACAATGACATCACCTATAGGTGGGCGGGGCTTAGGGGTATTGGCAACACCATAGATGACACCGTGGGCGGAGCTTAATGCAGAGATGAGGCTGTGGGCGGGGTTTATGTGCTGTGGGCGGAGCCTGCTCTGTCTGGGCGTGGCCTACAGGCCATGGGCGGGGCACAGGGGCAGGGTTACGTGCACAGGTGAGGCTGTGGGCGGGGTTTATGCGCTGTGGGCGGGGTCTCCTGGCGGTGGGCGTGGCTAATCCCGGTGGGCGTGTCCCTCAGGAAGCTGGACGCCTTCATCTACGACGCGGCCGTGCTGAACTACATGGCCCGCAAGGAGGAAGGCTGCAAGCTGGTCACCATCGGCTCGGGGAAGGTCTTTGCCTCCACGGGCTACGGCATCGCCCTGCAGAGGGGATCCCGCTGGAAGCGCCCCGTGGACCTGGCCCTGCTCCAGCTCCTGGGGGACGGTGGGTCTGGGGGAATTTGGGGGGTCTCTGGGGTTTTTTTTTGGTTTTTTTGGGGTTTTTTGGGTCCCTACGGCATCGCCCTGCAGAGGGGATCCGAATGGAAGTGTTTCCAAGACCTGGCCCTGCTCCAGCTCCTGGGGGATGGTGGGTTTGGGGTTTTTTTGGAAGAGTTTTGGAGCTTTGCTTGGGTTTTTGGGGGGTTTTTTGGGATTTTTTTGGTCTCTACGGCATCACCCTGCAGAGGGGATCCCAATGGAAGCGTCTCCAGGACCTGGCCCTGCTCCAGCTCCTGGGGGATGGTGGGTTTGGGGGAATTTGGGGGGTCTCTGGGGTTTTTTTTTTGGGGTTTTTGGGGGTTTTTTGGGTCCCTACGGCATTGCCCTTCAGAGGGGATCCCGCTGGAAGTGCCTCAAAGACCTGGCCCTGCTCCAGCTCCTGGGGGATGGTGGGTTTGGGGGAATTTGGGGGGTCTCTGGGGTTTTTTTTTTGGGGTTTTTTGGGTCCCTATGGCACTGCCCTGCAGAGGGGATCCCACTGGAAGCGCCCCGTGGACCTGGTCCTGCTCCAGCTCCTGGGGGATGGTTTGGGGGTCTTTAGAAAGGTCCTGGAGGGGTTTTGGGGGGTCTTTGGGGGTTTTTTTGGGGTTTTTTGGGGTTTTTTGGGTCCCTATGGCATCGCCCTGCAGAGGGGATCCCGCTGGAAGCGCCCCGTGGACCTGGCCCTGCTCCAGCTCCTGGGGGACGGTGGGTCTGGGGGAATTTGGGGGGTCTCTGGGGTTTTTTTTTTGGTTTTTTGGGGTTTTTTGGGTCCCTACGGCATCGCCCTGCAGAGGGGATCCCAATGGAAGTGCCTCCAGGACCTGGCCCTGCTCCAGCTCCTGGGTTTGGGGGGGTCTCTGGGGAGTTTTGGGTGTCCTGGAGGGATTTTGGAGGGTCTTTGGTGGGTCTGGGGGTTCTGCAGAAGTTTTGGACCCTCTAACACCTTCAAATGTCCCCTCAACCTTCCAAGATGATCTTCAAAGCACCCTGAGACACCCCCAAACCCCCCCAAGGTGCCCCCAAACCCCTTCAAAATGCCCCCAAACCCCCCCAAGGTGCCCNCCCTAGACGCCCCCCAGCCCCCCGTAACCGCCGTCCCTGCCCCTCGGCAGACGAGATCGAGATGCTGGAGCGGCTCTGGCTGTCGGGGATCTGCCACCAGGAGAAGCTGGAGGTGATGAGCAGCAAGCTGGACATCGACAACATGGCCGGGGTGTTCTACATGCTGCTGGTGGCCATGGGGCTCAGCCTGCTCGTCTTCGCCTGGGAGCACCTGGTGCACTGGAAGCTGCGGCACCTGGGGACAACCTTGGGGACACCCCAGGACACCCTGGGACATCCAGACACCCCTGGGGACATCCCGGGGGACACCCTGGGACAGAGGGGACACTCTGGGGACACCCTGGGGACACCCCTGGGACACCGAGGGGACACCCCGGGACACCCCCGGACACCCTGGGGACACCCTGGGACAGCCTGGGGACAGCCCTGGGACACCTTGGGGACACCCCCGGACACCCTGGGGACAGCCTGGGGACACCTTGGGGACACCCTGGGGACATCCCGGGGACAGCCCGGAGACAGCCCGGGGACACCCCTGGACACCATGGGGACACCCTGGGACACTCATGGGACACCTTGGGGACACCCGAGGACACTCTGGGGACACCCTGGGACACCCCCGGGACACCGAGGGAACACCCTGGGACACCCTGGGGACACCCTGGGACACCCCAGGACACCCTGGGACATCCAGACACCCCTGGGGACACCCTGGGGACACCCCCGGCCCCGGGGACGCGCCGGCGGCCCCGCGGTGACAGCGAGGACACGGAGGGGCCCCCCCGGCTCCTGAGGTGACACCAGCGAGGACAAGGAGACGGCGGGTGGCACCCGAAGTGACAGCAGGGACAGCGAGGCACCCGCGGGGACAGGGACACGGACACGGACACGGCGGGGCCGCTGCGGTGACACCGAGGAGGAGGAGGAGGAGGAAGATGTCACCGGGTGACACCGGCAGGGACAGCGAGGACAAGGCCGGGTCCCCGTGGAGTGGCACCCCCGGGGTGACACCGGCGAGGACGAGGACTCGTGGTGGCACTCGCGGTGACAACAGCGAGGACACGGACGGGTCCCCGTGAGGTGGCAGCAGGGGGACAAGGACACGTCCCTGTGGCACCGAGTGACAGCGGTCACAGCGTCCGTGTGACCCGGGAGGGGACACCGGTGAGGACAAGGACAGCTCGGTGGCACCGAGGTGACAAGGATGGGGACAGTGACACCGGTGAGGACAAGGACAGCTCGGTGGCACCGAGGTGACACTGTGACAAGGAGGGGACAATGACACCGGTGAGGACAAGGACAGCTCGGTGGCACCGAGGTGACACTGTGACAAGGATGGGGACAGTGACACCGGTGTGCCCTGTTGGGGACACGCTTTGTCCCCTGGTCCCTGAGGTGCCACCACGAACCGAGCCGTGTCCCCAGCGGTGACACCGCGGCCACCAAGAGAGCCCCAGGGCACAGCCCGGGGTGTCCCTGCCCTGTGGGTGACACCGTGACCCCGCAGGTGACACTGTGACCCCATGGGTGACACCAACCCATGTCTGTCCCTGTGAGTGACACCACATCACTGTGGGTGACACCGTGACCTCACAGGTGACACTGTGACCAGATAGGTGACACCACGTCCCTGTGGGTGACACTGTGACGCCACGGGTGACACCATGTCCCTGTGGGTGACACCAACCAATGCCTGTCCCCATGGGTGACACCACATCACTGTGGGTGACACCGTGACCACATCGGTGACACCACGTCCCTGTGGGTGGCACTGTGACCCCGCAGGTGACCCTGTGACCTTGCAGATGACACTGTGACCCTGGGGGTGACCCCGAGGGTGGCACTGTGACCCCGTGACCCCACAGGTGACACTGTGACCCCGTGGGTGACCCTGTGATCCTGCAGGTGACACTGTGACCCCGTGGGTGACCCCGTGACCCCACAGGTGACACTGTGACCCCGTGGGTGACCCTGTGACCCTGCAGGTGACACTGTGACCCCGTGGGTGACCCCGTGACCCCACAGGTGGCACTGTGACCCCGTGGGTGACACTGTGACCCCGCGGCGTCCCCTCCCCCGGCCGTGGGGTGGCAGCAGCGGCTGTTTCCCTGTGGGTGGCACTGTGACCCCACGGGTGACACTGTGACCAGATAGGTGACACCACGTCCCTGTGGGTGACACTGTGACCCCACGGGTGACACTGTGACCTTGTGGGTGACACCACATCCCTGTGGGTGGCACTGTGACCCCACGGGTGACACTGTGACCCTGTGGGTGACACCACGTCCCTGTGGGTGACACTGTGACCCCGCAGGTGACCCTGTGACCTTGCAGATGACACTGTGACCCTGGGGGTGACCCCGAGGGTGGCACTGTGACCCCGTGACCCCACAGGTGACACTGTGACCCCGAGGGTGACACTGTGACCCCGAGGGTGACCCTGTGACCCCACAGGTGGCACTGTGACCCCGTGGGTGACACTGTGACCCCGCGGCGTCCCCTCCCCCGGCCGTGGGGTGGCAGCAGCGGCTGTTGGGGACACTCCTGTCCCCCCCTGCCGTGGGGGATGGGCTGGCACCATCCGCTGTCCCCTCCCCCGCCCCGCTGCCGATGACGTTTTTAATTAATGAGTTAATGAATGAAATAATTAATTAATGGGGGGGAGACGAAACTGTGAGTGACGGTGACACCGTGACATCGGTGACACTGACATTGGTGACACTGACATTGGTGACACCATGACATTGGTGACACTGTGACATCGGTGACACCGTGCCATTGGTGACACCGACATTGGTGACACCGTGCCATCGGTGACACTGTGATATCGGTGACACTGACATTGGTGACACATCGGTGACACCGTGACATCGGTTACACCGTGCCATTGGTGACGCTGTGCCATCGGTGACACCGTGACATCAGTGACACTGCCATCGGTGACACCGTGCCATCGGTGACACCGTGACATCGGTGACACTGACATTGGTGACACATCGGTGACACATCGGTGATACCGTGACATCGGTGACGCCGTGCCATCGCCACACCGCGACTGTGATCCCGGGGCCACCCGCGGGCCCCTGCCCCACCCTGTCCCTGTCACCCCCCGTGTCCCCTCCGTCCCCAAAATGTCTCTGTCACCCCCTGTCCCTGTGTCCCCCCTGCCGTCCCCATGTCCCTGTCCCTCACAATGTCGCTGTGACCCCCTGCTGTCCCTGTCACCCCCCTGGTGTCCCCAGTGTCCCTGTGCCCCCACAATGTCCCTGTCCCTCCATGTCCCAATGTCCCCGTGACGCCCACGTGTCCCTGTCACCCCCCATGTCCCATTGTCCCCATGTCCCTGCCACCCCCATCAATGTCCCTGTGTCCCCCTGTCCCTGTCATCCCCCGTGTCCCTGTCACCCCTCCATGTCCCAATGTCCCTGTCACCCCCCGTGTCCCTGCCACCCCGCCATATCCCTGTGTCCCCCCATGTCCCAGTGTCCCTGTCCCCCCCTGTCCCCAGCCCCGCCCATCCAATAAAGAGCTTTTCTATTCCTGCAGCTGCAGCAGCCGGACAGAGGGACACAGGGACAGGGGGACAGAGGGGACAGGGCAGGGGACAGAGGGACATGGGAGGGGACAGAGGGGACAGCAGGACAGAGGGACAAGGGGAGGGGACACGGGGAGGGGAGGGGCCACCGGGAGGGGACAGGGGAAGAGACAGAGGGACACCGGAGGGGACACTGGGAACACCGGGGAGGGGACAGGGAAAGGGACACCCGCAGGGGACAGAGGGGAGGGGACACTGGGGAGGGGACACAGGGACACAGGGGACACGGGAAGGGGACAGAGGGGAGGGACAAGGGAGGGGAGGGGACACAGGGGACATCGGGAGGGGACACTGCGGTGCCACCCACTGGGACCCCTCCCCAAACCCCCTCCCCATTTTAAGGCCATTTCCACCTCTTTTTTTTTTTTATTTCCTCATTAGCATCTCATTTGCATAGGAGTCATTGCATAAGGCTCCCGCCGCGCTGGGGAGGGGGGGAAGGGATGGAGCGGGGGCTGGGGGACCCCGATAAATGGGGACCCCCGTGGGGGGGGGAGGGCAGGATTGGGTTGATTCAGGGGGTTTTGGGGTTTTTTTGCATATTACAATAAATACCGGCGGGTCGGACATGCAGACATGCTGGTCGGGGGGGGGCGCCCAGGGGGGCCCCACCCCCAAACTGCTGCCCCCAGGGACCCCCCCGGGGGGGAGAACAGCTTTGGGGGGGTCCCGGCCCCCCCCAAAAGGGGGCAAGGCCTGATCTGGGGGCACGGCCTGCTCCCGTTACCATGGAAACGCAGCCTGGCCTCGCAGTGAGGGCTCAGGCCTGCTCCTGTTACCATGGAAACAAAGCCTGGACTAACAGTGGAGCTCAGGCCTGCTCCTGTTACCATGGAAACAAAGCCTGGCCTCGCAGTGAGGGCTCAGGCCTGCTCCTGTTACCATGGAAACAAAGCCTGGACTAACAGTGGAGCTCAGGCCTGCTCCCATTACCATGGAAACGCAGTCTGGCTGCTCCCGTTACCATGGAAACGCAGCCTGGCCTCGCAGTGAGGGCTCAGGCCTGCTCCTGTTACCATGGAAACAAAGCCTGGACTAACAGTGGAGCTCAGGCCTGCTCCCGTTACCATGGAAATGCAGCCTGGCCTCGCAGTGAGGGCTCAGGCCTGCTCCTGTTACCATGGAAACAAAGCCTGGACTTACAGTGGAGCTCAGGCCTGCTCCTGTTACCATGGAAACGCAGCCTGGCCTTGCAGTGAGGGCTCAGGCCTAGTCCCGTTACCATGGAAACACAGCCTGGCCTCGCAGTAGGGCCTGACCTACTCCTGTTACCATGGAAACAGCCTGATCTCACCATGAAGGCTCAGGCCTTGTCCTGTTACCACGGAAATGTAGCCTGGCCTTGCAACAGCAGGTAGCCTAGCTCTGTTACCATGGAAACACGGCCGGCAGTCAGAACACTGCTCAGGCCCAGTGCAGTTACCATGGAAACACTGCCTGAGGCGGTAGTGAAGACTCTTGTTACCATGGCAACACAGCCTGGCTTTGCAGTAGAGCTCAGGCCTAGTCCCGTTACCATGGAAACACAGCCTGGTCTCGCAGTAGAGCTCAGGCCTAGTCCTGTTACCATGGAAACACAGCCTGGCCTCACAGCAGAGCTCAGGCCTAGTCCTGTTACCATGGAAATGCAGCCTGCCCTTGCAGTGATAAGCCAGGCCTAGTCTCGTTACCATGGAAACGCAGCCTGGCCTCGCAGCGGGGCCGGTTTCCCCCCTTCTCCCCCCATCTTGGGGTGACGCTGCCACCACAGGGGGACAGGGGGGACCCCCGGGCAGGGCCCTACCTCTGCCGTCGTCCTCCGCCATCGGTGCGTCCGGCGGCTCCAGTTATTGCTTGGGGGGGTGTGGGGAGCCCAGGAGAGGGGACACACACGGGGGGGACACGGGGGACACACAGAGGGGACACACGAGGTGAGGTGACACCAATTACAGGGGGGGCTCCCCAAGTCCTGAGTGATCATGGAGTGGGGGGGACACACGGGGTGGGGAACGACAGGGACGCCCAAACCCCCTCCCGAAACCGGGGTGGGCTTGGAGGGACCCCAAATTTGGGGGGGGACACCCAGTCCAGAAAGTGCAGTGCAGCCTGTGGGGTGACATCGGGGCGGGGGGGTCCCCTCGTCACCCCCTTTCACAGTCTCTTAGGGGGGCACCCCTCCCTTTCCGGGGGGCTCCAGTCCCTTTTAGGGAAGGGGGGGGGAGGG